GAAGAGAAGAGAAGAGAAGAGAAGAGAAGAGAAGAGAAGAGAAGAGAAGAGAAGAGAAGAGAAGAGAAGAGAAGAGAAGAGAAGAGAAGAGAAGAATATTTGTCTTCCAGCCCATATTCTTGAAGATTGAAGGAAATATAATTATGCCAGGTGTAGATCCTCTATATTTTATAGCTTGCACTTCCATTTTACAGCTTAAAAATTAAGAAAGACTTCTCTAGTGGGTACTAGTCTGCAGTATTTGAGGTAACATTTGTGAATTTTTCTCAAAAACAGCCTTCCCTTTCCCTCTCTCTCTCCCTGCATTTTTACCTGCATTTACCCAGTCTGAGACTTGCTAATCAATATGCAGAATAAATAACTCAAAGCTGACAAAGCAACCCAATTTTAACTTACAGATGGCAAAAAAAAAAACAAATAAATTTCAGCAGTGGAAACAGGTTTGCATAAGAGCCACAGAGGGAAGATTACACTTTGAAAACAACAATGGTTGCACAACAACATCTGTATTTGAAACTAGTATGAAAGCAGTCCCCTTCACACCAACACTGAAACGATTAACACCTCACACAGCCACTCGATATTGGATTCTTTCTCTGATTGATATGACATTCTGTAAATGAGCTAAAAAAAAAATAAAACAAAAACCTAAATAAATAAAAATTAATGCAACTAATAGCTAAATTATTGTTGGCACTCTTGTACCAGCAGTGAGTGTCTTCTAACTGAGAATGAGAAGGGAGTAGGGCGGAGGAAAGAATGATGTTATTTGTTTAAATGGTGAAGGTTCATGACCGATATTAAGATATTCAAATGCTTTTTTGTGTCCTATATATGCACACACATGCCAATAAGCCCTGATATTATATTACATATTAATAAATACATGTATATATATTATTAATCTAAAAACTATGCATCTATTTTCCTGTTTAGATTGGTGATAATGTATTGGTTACAGTATCATCAATCCCAAATTCAAACAATTATCTGCTGCTGCCTCATTCACAAGGAGTTGCCATAACAGAGCAGCTGATTAATATGATTAAGCTGATTTTTTTACCCAGTGCCTTTCCTGACACAATACCCAATGGATGGACTGTAGCTCTACTAAATATAAGAAAGATTAAATGCTTTACAGCATTCTGTTCATAAAATGTGATTCATATAAGTAGCCTTCTTCTCAGTTTGGTCTTCAATTCAAATAATTCATGTTTCTGACAATGGCATAAGTCTGCTGCTTGCAGCTCAAAACTGAATACAGAAAAAACACACAAAAAATGTTTGCTAGATTAAAAAAAAAATCAAAGCTGCAAACCTTTTTCATTTCTCTTTTAACTTCTTCCTTGACCCAACTGTCTGTGTTTATTATGTGAGGCAGGTTATGGAGGTACTGCCAGGCAGTCTTAAAAAGTTTCAAACTCTGTGTGGTGCCTGTCTCCTTATTTCAACTTTAACAGTGACTGGAGGACAAGATCTAAGGTTAGGCTCCCTATGATCCCACAATCAGGTTTCAAGGAAGGGAGATAGGAAACAAGGATGTTCAAAAAAAGCAACACTTCTCTACTGCTTACAGACACAAACTATGATGATTTTGCAGCCGGCACTGAACTCAGAGTCACAAATTGCCTATTTATGTCAAGGAAAGCTTTTAAAAGCAAAAACAACATTGCAAATAGAGGGCATAAAGATGTGCATTCAGATATGATGAAATGGAAAGGCAAGATATGTATTATTTATATAAAAATTTGAAAAAGTGGACTAGAAAAAAGGGCTGGTAGGGCTGTTTTTGTGGCAGGTTCAATACATTGAAACTCCTAATTGTGTGTTACATAAACTTATCCACAATGTGCCAAATGCTGATTATATGTAAAATGACTAATGCATTATGTTAGGGCCGTGATTGTATGGTGTATTATGGACAAACTATCATTCTCATAGGCTTTATTTTTTAAAAAAAAAAATTTAAAAAGCCTGCTGGTATAAAATAAAATAAGAGGTCTGACAAGTGATACAAATATCTGACATATTAAAAAGAACAACATAAATAAAGATGTTTCAAAGTGTGAAATCAACAGAAGGGTCTGATTTTTTTTAAAATCTTTTTGGTGTATTTTGCACCACAAAGGATTGCGTTGCAAATCCTTAATAATAATTTACACCATGAGAGTTATGATCAAAACTCTTAGTCATTGTCAGCTATAGGGTCTAACTGGTAAAGACATTAACAATGGTCTGCCATAGCACACTGAAGCATGTTTCCTGGTTAAATCAGAGAACCGTGCTGATATATTGCTTAGATTGACTGACTAGAAAAGCTGAGCCATTATGTTGAATGCGCACTTATTTTTCTGCTTTGTGAAATAATGGTGATATAACACCATGAAAAATAATGTTTTCATATGTTTTTAGAAAATAACATAAAAGATATAAAATGTATTTTTATAGGTTCTTATGTAATGGCTTTACCTCTTTTACTCATCTGTCTCACTAGAGATCAGTTGGGCTGTCAAGTAAAATAAATCTGACATCCCTGGTTCATAACACGACTTTTGCCCAGTAATTTGTCATCACGTGTCCTGGCTATCATCAATAAGTGTTCACAGAGCATAACTTGACATGGTGACGATGCTGTGCACAGCTGAAAGCTGAAGAAACAAAGCAGATATTGTACAACAGATTTTGGGGTCTGCAGAGTCTGCATTCCACATCACCATCTGGATGGCCGTTAATTCGCTAAATTTAATACTGCACAATACTGTGAACTAACAAAATATTAAGTGGTTCTTACTGCATTATTCATGGATTTAACATATGAACGATCGTATGTACTTTAACCAATATATCAGTGAGGAATTTGTATTATACAGCTTAGCAGTCTGACTCTGATCCTGTGTACTATGTTGATTTGGCCAATTTAATACACAGAAGTCAATTGATGTTGTTTCGTAAATACAGAGTCCAATCATATCTGTAAATAAAAGTGATTAAACATGTTTTTGTGCTTCTCAATAACACAAAGATATAAAAAAAAAGTTTTGTTCTTCTGATGTCTTTCTAATGTCTTATCATTCAGAGATTGTCCCAGGCACTTTGAAGTTATGTCCTCAGACAACCACTTAATTCTTCCTCTGCACACTTTTGAACTCAGTCAGAGCACGGGGTGGGGGAAGTGTTTGAGTTTAAAGAAATAAGTGTGTCAGACGGATGAACAGAGGGAAGGAGACAGACAGATACCGAGGTCGAACCTTCAAAGGGAGAGCAACAGAAGCCGAGTCAAAGGAGAAAAAAAAAGAAAAAGAGCCATGGATGGATGCACTGCTGATAGCCCTAAATCACAGCACGCCTCTGTGCCTGCGCCGGTGTGTTGACACAACCTCGGCCAACACTCAAGGACGCTGTTGACTTCCTCAGGTCATTAACAGATGAAAAATTACTTAATTGAGAGCCAGACCAGCAGGCGTGTGCATTATTTTAAGTGAATACAGTAATATAGCTTGAAGAATAATTACTAATGGCTCTCTTTGTTGGCATGTAAAATGGATGAGCATTGGTGCACTGTGGCTTTTTTAAAGTGGAGCTGCATTCATTAGCTATGGAAATGGTTTTTGGGCCAAGTGAATGAGGTGGGGTGGGGGGTTCAGCGGTGCATTAGATCTACCTAACACTAATGGATGTTGCCTCATGGAAGAGAAAGTACACTCAGACACATACTCGTGCTGATTAATGAAAGCACGCATGCATTCACAAATGAGGGTTTCACCTTTTCTGATGGATGAATGTTCAAACTCCAACAGGACTTCGAAATTGTCTGTGTGTATTTGTCCTTACCAGCAGCGGACTGTAGTAGGCTGGCCCCAGGGTTGTGTCCTTAGGAGGGGGCTGTTGCTTACGGAGGACACCCCGGGCATCCTCTTCATAGCCATAGGCCTGGCCCGGGGAGGGAATGGATGGAATGTCTGACTGAAGAGCTAGCCGGAGACCTTTAGCCTGCAGCCAATGCAAAGAGAAAAAAAAGGCAGGAGAAAAGCAGAAAGAGTAAAGCAAAAAGTCAGGGTTTCTGTTGGAAAAAAAATGCCCTAGCTTACAAAGCAGCTGAGCACTGCCTGGGGCCAATAAAAGACGAGACTGAGAGAGGGACAGAGCGAGAGGGAGAACCATAAATGAGGGACAGAAGATCAGCAAAAGATAGTGAGGGCACGATGAAGAGAAAAAGAAGTAAAAAGTAGAACTGCACCAGTGCAAAAGAAACCAGAGATACTGAGGGAACATAAACAAAGAAATCGAATGAAAAAAATGCCAGGAAGTTTTTCTACTGACTTTCTGGGATCTGGGAGTAATGTAAATGTACATTCTTGCTTTTTGGTTAATTACAACTAGCATAAAAAAATAACGCCAACTAAGACGCTCGCATTCAGCTCTGGAGGAGCAAGTTTCAAACGCACCAAGTTACCGTAGGTATCCACTAATATCCACAGATAACAGCTTGTAAAGCACTTACTTATAGCTGATTTTTGCATATATTCTTGAAAAAATTACAAAAGGGATAAACAAGATACTGTGTCATTCATTACCATTATTCCATAGTTCATATATGATATAGAATGCGAGTTTGCAAGTGCACTCAACACTCAAACCAGCACAAACAGGATGAAGAGTCTTCTGTACCAGCTTTGGATTGTGCAAGTCTCTTCTACTTGCTTTATTCTAAGAATAACAGTAGAGAAATAACAGCACTAAAGTGGATATGCGGGCATATTCAGCATTATAAAGCCATTGCCATCTGTGATAACTGAGTATTTCAGAAGAACAGATGTATGACATAATACAATAAAAGTAGCAAGTGTCAGTACTACTCATGTACTATGCCCTCCTATCTTCACCCATATGCTTACCACTTTGTTGCCAGGCCTTCCAGGGTGTCCTACATTAGCTGTCACAGCCCTGTGTGCCTTTTTTGAGGCAGGCAACACATTGTAGGCCCCAGGGCCTGGAACCTCTGACACCACATCCTCAAAACGCTTGGAGCGGTTCTGAAGACTGCTGCCACCATGGACATTTAACTGAAGAGACAAGGGTTCAACAGAAAGCCAAGCAAAGAGAGAATAAGGCTGGTATCAAAAAATATATTTCTTAAAATATTTGTTTTAAACCATGGACAAGCAACATCGTCATTTAGCTTTTGTAAATTAAATGGATCACTCACCTTGACAGGTGAGCAGTCATAGTGTCCAGGTCCTAATAAACTCTCACTGTCTTTGGAGAATATTGATTGCCTGTCACTCAAGGAAAGGAATGGTGCATAGCCATCTGCAACAGTGAAAATTTTCCCAAGGTAAGATATACAAATGACTGCAAGCTTGCAGGACGCTTTATTTTCTAATACACTTATGTAACTGTGAAACAACAAAGCAGCAGGAACATTTTTTGCTTACATATTGAGTTATACTTCCAAGACATATTAATTTAACTTTTATCAATTGAAAGTGTATAAGCAGATTCAAATCTGTAAGCCTAAATATTCGACGTTCTTTCTTTGCAAGCTAGCTAAATTTAATTTAAGTTAACTTAAAGTTTTACAGTTTTCTGAAGAAGAAAAAAAAATGATTTTGGAAGGACAGATATTTTTCCTTGTAAGTACCTGATATCTTGTAACTGGACTGGCTCACATTGTATGATCCGGGACCAACAGCAGACGATGCACCCCCTGCTGTCATGAAGGTCACTCTTGGAGCCCGTCCGTACATGTTTAACTCACAGAGTGGTAGTCTCGCTAAAATTTAATTACACAATAAATACTCCTTTATTCTGCCATAGGGTGTAGCTGTACTTTCATTAAATTATGCTGCACCAAGGTTAAAAAATGCCTGCCCTGTGCTCCCCTTTGTCAGGACTGCGCTGGTTACTTCGCCTGCATAGTTGCTTGGTTACCACATATTGTTACATGGCAACTGCAGACCGAACACACACAGAGGAGGAGAAGTAAGCAGAAGGACCACAGAGACAAGACAGGCGAGTGAGAGACGTGGCACTCTGAGAACTGAAGTTCATGGGAGAATTCAGAAGAAGAATACAAGCTCCTACATATTTATATCTGTCATAGTACCAACTGCTCTCCAAGTGGAACACCTGACTTTCTCTTCTCCTCCTGCTGTTCTATTTTTCTTTCTCTCCCTCGTGCGTGGTTGTGCTAGTGAGCATTAATTTTGCTCGCCTCCTCCCGAAGTGGGCGTGGCTTTTCCAAGCTCCCGCTGCAGCACCTGTGCACCATTATTCGCTCACCTGTTGTATTTAAGTCCAGCTCGTTCCGCTGCTCGAAGTTAGCTCGTTTACCGACCCAGTGTAGCAACATAGCTGTTCTCTCTGCTCTCCTACTGGACGAAGCATATCTTCGGAACATAAAGACAACCTGTGAGAGTAAACTAAGAAACGTGCTTTTGACTTGAGGAAAGTCTAAGTCGTGATTGCTTTTAGTTAAAAATCACTGCCCTGTAGCCTAATACTTAGTATATATATGTAATGGAGAACAAATGTATCAGATTTGACTAGTGCTTCTATGCTTGTAGTTTTGGATTCCAGGCAGCAGTGAATTTAAATTTAATTTAGGTAGACTATTACTTCCAAATAAGTCCCCAGAGACATTTCAAGATAGCTGCGGAGTGGCGAGACTTCCTGCTCGAAGGACTGGTATAATTAGCCCACAACGTCTGGAATAAAAAACTCTTTGAAAGCTTGTAAGGGTCAAGTCGACAAACCGTTTAGCTTTTACCTGATTCAGTGGTGTCTCTATGGGAGGGAGGGGATTGAACTTCAAGCAAATTTCAAAAAACTACTGAAATAAGAGTGAGACTTGCTTTTGGAAGGACTTTGAAGAGACGTATCAGCATTTATTACCTGTATCACCTGTACATTTTTTTTGTAACTCTTGTAGTACTGCTTATGTTACATTATTGGCCTTTTCTGGCATTTTTTATTCATGGAGGGGGCTTTTTGTTTGTTTTTAATTAGAGCATTAGCCTCTATATTGAAGCCATAGTCCCATCCTACCATCTAGTGGTTGAATGTGACAGAGCCTCACCCCATCCCACCCACCACCACTACACTAGTAGTAGTACTACTGATTTACATTTTTGACCAGTCTCAGTTCATTCTTGACCCACTTCTTCCTGTCCCACAATGTAGTTAAGGTTTGGATAATGAGAACTCAGGGGAAAGCTATGCAAGTAACAAGTAGCTCTCTGAGGGGGGCACTGAACTGCATATACTTGAATTTCCCTTCACGTCTCTTAGTTAGTGGAGTGTGTCTTTGACTGGACAAATCTCATTAACGTTACACAGCACATATGATATCTTAAAGATATATTCTCAAAGACCATCTCTGACAACTCAGATGGTGAGTCTGAATTATCATAATTGCAATAGTGATATCCTAAAAGCAACTGTATTTATTTATTAACCCATCATGTATTCATATTTTCTTAAGACTCGTATTACAGTTTCACACCTGGGACTCCTTGCATTTCTATTATTCATGTTGCTGACTGGAAAACTGTGCCATTACCCAAACTCTGAGAGTACTTCTAATAACACTTTGTAACCTAGAAGAAGGTGATGTAATAAATGCTTTCATTTTCTGGCTGTGGTTTAATAAGCAGCTGTTAACATTTCCTTTCTCATAAACACCAGAAAGCAGAGCGTTTTTTTAAACTGAAAAATACAAAGCATGCAGTATCTGTGATGGGAGAAGGAAACTGGACAAATCACGACAGAGATGTACATCGTAGATAACTGACTAAACACGTAACAACGATGGGCTGCTATTTAGCAGTCATTTTAACAGTTTGGGTTCAGCTTAATAATGGTTACACATACAAATTATAGTACATTTACGTTGGGGAAGGGATGATAGAAATAAGGTGTACGATGGAGATGGGGAATATATCCACCAGAGGGCAGCAGGTTGCCTCAGATGAGTCTAACCTGTTTTAAATTCACGTGAAGGCAATGCTGCTTCTCATGAAAACGGAAAACACAATACCCAGCCGTAAGAGACTAAAAGGGATTAAAATGCATTCAGTAGTATATCACTGAATAGTTATAGTGTTTCTATATAGAATCTTTTGTATATTTAGATATATAGAAAGTAGATTGTAGATTTAATGCAATTATTTGCAAATAAATCTAGAAAAGCACTAATTCCCACTAAAAACGATTTCTTTATTCTTTTAGTGGACTGTAGTTCATATATTTGTTCTCTATCTGAGAAAATAAAGCCGTGTTAAAGGGTGTTAAATGTATTAATCAACTCTGCAGGTAATCTTTTACTAAAGTCTCCCAAATGGCAAGTCGGTAAAGGCGAAGATCGAGAATTTTACAAAGCGTCCGTGAAAGCGCCACAAGTTATTTCCACCGTCACGGCCAGCGTCGGTCATCGCCCGGCAAGGTGTCGCTTTCGGCAGCTAATTACCCGTTTTATTCCTCGTTTAAGTGAAAAATTTTGATACACATTTACTTTTGACACCCTCGGCACTTGGGGCCATGGAAAGAATCAGGTTTTTCGTGTTTTTCTTGGTGCTTTCCGCGTCTTTGCTGGGCAAAGCCGAAGCGGGCAGGAGCAGGACCAGCAACCAGAACAGCTTCCGACGGGCAGCTAACGGCATCTATCAGACTCTGAGCAGCGTCTTCGGAGAGGACAACATTAGAGGGTTATACAAGGTCAGTTAGGCCCATATCATGCTAAGTCGGCGGCTGGCTTTGTTCATGAGCCTCATCGTAGCTGCCATTACGGTTTGTGGTCCAAGCATGGCGAACAGGAAAAGGCCTGGTTAATAATTCCACGGATGCCATTTTGGGGGGAAGCCTTTATCGCCCCCTTTTCTGTTTAAGTCGGTAGAAAAAGCCTGGGTATAAAATCGTAGTAAAAACAAAAACGTGCTTCGTGTTCTTGCATTCTTATTTGTGTGTGAAGCCAAATCAAGCCACAAATGAGAGAATCTAAATTTAAATAAAATAAGTATAGCTTCATTGATTCACAACATAACCGCCTTTATGTTTCTTTATGTATTAGAAATCTGCTCTTATTAAGGAACTAGTGGGGCCTGCTCAAGTGATCTCATTGGCCCTGCGGCATTTCCTGCATTTTGAAATGTGATGTTATTTCCTGCATTAAGCCGCCAAAGCGTAATTAAGTCAGATATGTTGAGTTGAGTAGTTTTTCCTGTAGACTTAACAGTGTAACATGGCGCTTCATGTGTGCATCTGCTTACCTGATGAACATGCAAATAATGAGTGCCTGATTTAAAGTTACGGCGTAAGATAGTGATGTGTGGATGTTAAACCACTGTCTCTGATACTTACATCAGCCTTTGTGACTACTTAAATACAGCTGTAAATGCTTCATTGCATCTGTGACTTTTCCAGCAATGTTTATGTGTGCTGTGAAAAAGAGCTACTAAAGCGGGCAGCCAAAGGGTTCTTATGAAAACACTGCTTTCACGGTGTAATAAAAGCACCTGCTGCTGTAATGATAATCCTGTATGGCCACTGTTATATCAACACATTAGCTACCTGTCCATTTGAGAGTGAAAAATAGTCGGTTGCCTGGAGAGTTGGTAAACAGGGGTTTGATTTATAGCTGCAGAGACCATGGTGTTGGGTCACTGCCAGATCAAAAGTTGTAACACACCCATAACTGCCCTTCCTGGTTTTAATGCAGTTCTTTGCATACTTTGCATAGAGTCCCTATGAGCACAACATCATTCATAATATAGGTTATGGACTGAAAAGCCACCAAAGCATTGCTTTATTTAATAGTTGGGAAATGCACATTGTAGTCTGACCAACCGACTGCCATAATTCATAGGAGACGATGATGCACTCAGTACATGGACGTTATTTTTCACCCTGCTTTTGCTATTGGTTGTTTATTTTCTCATAGTTTTTCTCCAAAGCAACGGAGAGGTTTGTCCATGGAGTGGACTCTTTCCTGGACACCATCTGGAAGATCTGGTCGGATCTGCTGGATGTGATGGGCATTGACTGTAAGTCTACAAATTGCTGCTTAGGACATGTCTGTTAGGAATGTCCGAATGATGAAGGCAGGTAAAAAAAATTAAAAATGCCAAGACATACAGTCCCATGAAAAAATATTTGTCCCCTTCCAGATCCCTTAGTTTATTGCATACTTGCCACACTTGCATGTTTCAGGTCATCAAACTAAATTTAATATTAGACAATATTAATATCAACCAGAGTAACTAAAAAATGCAGTCCTTTAAATTATTTAATTTTATTTATTAAGAGGAAAAAGCTATCCAAACCCGCCTGGCCCTGTGTGTAAAAGTAATTGTGCCTAAATATTGCCAGATGTGTTGAGTGAAGAAATCACTTGAATAGAAACTGGCTGGCTAAGTGAAATTTGCTAAAGGAGCTCAAAAGGCAACACATCATCATGATCTAAAGAAACTCAATTACAGATGAGAAACAAAGTTGCTGATGAAGCATGTGAGTGTGACAAAAATCATAAATACTTTTCAACAGCACTGTATGTTTAAAATTCATCTTCCTAGATCGCATCTGAAATTATACATGCTTCTGGAAACAGTTAACAATTTTAACTTCCTCTCGTGTCTCTCCCTTTCTCCCTGTACACATGTAGCTTCAAACCTCAGCCATTACTTCAGCCTCACATCTCTCACCAGCTCCCCAGCACGTGCCCTGCTCCTAGTCGCCGCTGTGTTCTTGGCCTACTGGTTCCTGTCTATGTTCCTGGGGGGTTTCTTTTACCTGCTGCACGCTGTGTTTGGACGCTTCTTCTGGCTAGCCCGCGTCACTCTCTTAGCCCTATCCTGCCTCTACATCCTGCAGAAGTTTGAGGGTGACCCTGAGCGCACAGTGCTCCCATTGTGCTTCATCATGGCTGTGTACTTCATGACAGGCCCTGTGGGAGCATACTGGCGCCGTGGCGGTGGGGCGGGTTCACTGGAAGAGAAAATCGACCACCTGGACACTCAGATCAGGCTGCTCAATATCAGGCTGAGTCGTGTAATAGACACCATTGAACGCACCGGAGACCAGTAGGCACATTTTAGGTTGAAGCAAAGATGAGTTTGGGGGGTGGGTCCAGGGAAAAAACTGATGTATTTGATAAGAGAATACTGTCTCCTACACACATCTACAGCAACAAAACTACTGGGTATTTACAACTCTATTGTCAGTTGGGGACAAAAGTACAAATGAAAACAGTATTTTAATGGCTTGAATTGATTTGGGTAACAAGAGAAACTGTTGAATTGGAGTTTGCACAAAACCAAACAACTTTTTTTTTTTTTTTTTTTTTTTTTTTTTTTTTTTTTGATGTTTTGGAAGGTTTTTTTACATCGCTGAGGAAGTTGTCGGGAGATGTCTGAGGTTTTCTAAATGCTAGCCTACTTCTACACCTCAGCTACTTTTACGAAACTCCTCTATTTTAAATTTTTAAGGTTTGCTTAGGCACTGTCAATGCTTGTGCTTGATTAATAAGCATATTTTACACATATTTACTTAATTTGATCCTTGTAAATGACCTGGGGGTTAAGTCTCAGTTCTTGTACACAAAAACATTTTTCCCCTTTTTTTTTTTTTTTTTAGCTACTGCTATAGGAGGGGGTAGGGTGTGTGGTACCGGGGGGCATTGTTGTTTCTAATATGTATATTCCAGCTGTTGGAAAGTTGTCCATAGCAAGATTTATTTATTCAATTTTTCCATCCAAAGTGTTGAAATGTAGATCTAGTTTGTTGAATCACCACCTCATAGTGACAAAAGCTTGACATCAGGACCTCTTTTTCTTGAATATGTGTGTAGATGCAGTTCAGTGACCTACTTGAATATGTGTGCGTGTTTGTGTGCATGTGTGAGGGGCAACCTTGTGAAATGGAAAAACGCTGTATAAAAAGTCAACACCAGACAGGCAGCAATATCTCAGGGACTCACCCAACACATGTTGAACTCAAATGAGATATCAAGTATGCTAAAATCATGTATTGGTCTCTTCACAATTCAGATGCGACTTCTCATTTGTTTCCAGCATCTTACAATACTTTCTGTTGAAATGCTGGAGTTTAAATCTAGCCTTTTATTCTTTATTTAAATGCCAGCATGGGGTTATTTTGGTTATCTGAACTGTAGCTAATCGTCCTAAATATGTAATCTGTCTCAACACAGACGCATCTGTTATGGTAAGAATTTTTAATCAATTGTAATAGGATCTGACCTGAACTTGCAGATTAAAAAGGTTTTAGTGACTTTAATACTGCTGGGAAAAAATTGTATTGGATATTACTTAACCCTGCTTTTGAAACTAATATGAAAGTGATTATTTCTCCTATGAGTATTTTAATGGTAGTTTAAAACCAGCCTGCCTGATTCATGCACTAAAATGTTGTGTTTAAAAAGTAATGCTTTGGGTACATTGTTAGTCTACATCACCATAGCTCTCACTAATTGGTTTGATATATTCTTTTTCTTTTAATTGTATATTTCTGAAGGTGGTTTTCTCTCACAATCTCATTTGTTACCATGGATTGGTGTAAGAGAATGTCCCCTGCACTGCTTGTCTATGTTTATAGCATGTCTTCCTTAATAATGTCCCAACATCCTTTACTCTAAATTAAAGTTATTAAATCTGAACTCCGTAATCACAGTTTGTTATAACAAATGACCCTAATGCTGTGCAGATCTTTCTTTTGGAGGTGGTGGTGGTGCTGATGGTTGGATGAGTTCATACATCAAACATCATGATTGTGTTAATCATTTTGATTAACAACTACCAGTATATGTAGTGGGCTGTAATTTTGTTTCTTTCAATAGTGTGGGTGCTATGACATGCATTGTAAATGAAAGGTGTTGTATCAACCGGTCAGGGTTGCAGTGGCCTTCTGGCTTCAGAGTATACAGAGTGTATCAAAGAGAATCATCTGATTTAAAAGTGTTTTAATTCCGTAGGTGTTCACAGGTAACATGTTGAGCACTTGTGAACATTGTAGGTTTTCTATGTAAAACTTTAAATTCAGCCATACATTTTAAAATTTACTGCTGTCTCCTGTATGTATATCTTTAAAGAATATAGCCGTTAGAATTGGATGGTTCTTTTTTTAAACACCCTATATAGTGGACTTTATCATACAATTTGTATTTGCTTATATACTATTGGGAGAAGCTCCACCCACCAACTACTTTTATTTTGAGGTCTGTTACTGTACTTTTAAGGGTCGTTTTTGGGGGGTTTTTTCTTCAAACCGATACACTAATAACTCTGTACCTTGAAACCATGATTTCTTTGTAGGTAGGTTGTTATACCATGAAAATCTCATCTTGTGTAATTTTATGCCAAGTATAGAAAAATGAACTTGTTAACTGATTCCCAGCGCTGTGTGATAATTCCCATGGAGTTTAGGTTGTCATTAAACTCCATCTCAGAATTAAGCCTGATGATGGCAAACTTCAATAACTATATAAACTCTTAGTGTCTCCTTATTTTGCCCAGAGTGCCATCAGCCAGCCCAGGTCACCCATATATCCCGTGTAACCGGAGATTTTCCTGCATGCTTAACTTTTATGCCTATAATGTTGCATTGCATTACAGTATATTCATGTTATTGACTGCCTAGGCAGAGCCCTTAAGTATGTGTGATGGGGTTGAAATAGCCAGAAGTTAATTACTTTTGGAATTGTGTTATAAGTGTTGTTCTTCTGCACTGATGATTAAACTGTGTATGCTGTTTGCTATCATTACAATCCTGAGCCGGACAGACTCTCTCCCATCATTCCATTATCACTGTGTCGCTGACATGGAGTCAAATTTTAAAGTACTTAAAACAAAATTATCATTTTATGAGCTGTAAATGAACAGTCTGGCCAGTGACCTTTGTTTAACTACTGGCAGCATGTGAGGTGAATAAAGGTATAGTGTGTGATATTGATGTATGTTGATGGGTTTTAGTATATGATGGTATTATATTGAATTCGGAAAAGGCCATGCGGTTGGTTTAGAGCGAATTCAGGATTTTGGTGGTTATTTATCAGACTTTAAATTCTAGACACTGAAAACTGTTTAAAAACAGATACAACTTGAAACAGTTTCTCTTTAAAGTACCCAGAAGTTCTTACACTGCTGTCTAACATCTTGAAAACACTCACAAACCAGCTCCAAGAGGGAGGTGTTACCATTCCTTTTAGATATTATGGAAGCAATTGTTCATGTTTTAAGTTGCTGGCAGCTGTATGTCTCTTCATTTAGCATGTAGATGTCAAAAGATGCCAGTAGATCCTTATCGGCATAGAATATATGCTGCATTCAAAATCTATTTATTCCATGTTAACAACATCATCTGAATGACATGTACTTCTTTCTTTTTAATGTACTGTATCTTGTGTATTTCTCTGTTTTCCACATAGCCTGCTTTTATATTGTGCTGTGCCAATAATGTTTTCTTTTATTTTTACTTCACTTACTTTCTTTTGTTATTTGTAACTGCTGATTTTAGAGTAGATGCAGATGGCTTTTCTTTTTCACATCACCACTTAATGTTTTTAGGCCTTTTTCTTTCTTTGTTTGTTTTTAATGAGTATTTTTGTACTCAGTTGTTGTTTGAAGAGCCAAACTATTCTGCCTGCTGTTACTTTCTGTTTGGATGTTTGTGTTTATGAAAACCTGTCAGTGGGGATGCAGTTCTTTTTGTGCCAGAGTGAAAATGAGGTCCAGATTTAAATAAACACCAGATTATGACTGAATGTCTTCCACTTTATGATTCATTAATAATTTTAAGATCTAAAGTTTGTTTGTGCATGTGTGTGTGAGAGAGAGAGAGAAGGAGAAACACATTGCTTCATGCTCAGTTTCATAATACACAATAAAAGTAAATGGCTATTTGGTTTGCAATTCTTCACCTAAACAATTGCTTCAATATTGTAGTATAGCTAGTAATTACTGGAAGTGTTCTTTCAATTATATTTCTAACACTAGGTGGTGCTAAAAGGTTTTATTTGGTTGCTAAAAGGCCGTGATTGTTTGGGAATAGGTGCTCCCATTCAGCCAGATTGGGAATTAAATGATCACTTTTGGCAGCAGTTATCCCAGCAAAAATACACGATACTGTAAAAAGCTGTATATTACACTCAATACTCTTATTGTAAGAAAGTGCTCAGCCTATAGTTCAACCTATAGTTCCAGTATGACCATCACAAATGGAAAGAGCATTACTGAAACAGTGAAGTAAGGATTGGAAACAGTGGGAAAACAGTGATCTCAAAACAGGCTTTCGTGGTAAAGCAAAACAAATAACCTTCAGAAAATTGCCAGTGCCTGATGAGAGAAAAATGAAGTTGTACTTGGCAGCTTTCCTGTGTAAACTTTATTGTCATCATCATTTATTTATTTATATAGCATTTTAAAAACACACCTGGTAGACCAAAGTGCTGTACAACTTTACCAACAGGAGTGTTTTGTTTTGTAGATTTGCACCTCTCAAATTCATGGTATTACTACAAATAGTTTCATATAACCGTGTTATTAACCTGATGAATTTAAAGCAGTCCTACGCAAGGTGGTGGATAAAATATAAGGCTGTGACCTAGATAAAAAGTCATCAGACACAAAGAGCAATAAAGCTTTACCACTATGACATGAAATGCTTTTATTGCTGTATTATACGATATCAAACACACAGAATGAACTGAGTCATCTGGCAGCTTGACAAATATCCAAACAAAACTAAATCTCACCTTCTCTACCACTGGTTTTCTTCCCCAAGGGTAGATAGAATAACTGCTGTGGGGACTTCTTAGCACCTTTTGACAGAACAATCCATCACCGAAACTCATTAGTTTCCTTGCAATCTTTAGTTGCTACCTATCATCTATCTGGAACAAGCCCATTTTCAGCAAAGACTACACCAATATTCACTCCCCCGACACTTTATTATATACGCTATGGTGGTACTGGGTCACTTTTGACTTCATAAGGGCCCTAATACCGAATGACATGGATTCAGTGAATTGCTGGAAACTTTCCTTAGAGATTTTGATCCATATTAACATGATAGCAGCTGCTACAGATTTGTTGGCTGCACATCCACGACATCTCCTGTTTCACCACATCCCAAAGGTGCTCTATTAGATTGAGATTTTGTGATTGTAGAGGCTGCTTGAGTACCATGTCATGTTCAAGAAAGCAATTGTGATTTATTTGAGTTTTGTGACATGGTGCAGGACGTCGTCAGCTACAATACTCAGGTAGGCTTTGGTATTTAAACAACGCTCAGTTGGGACTGAGGAACCTAAAGCATGTCAAGAAAATATAGACACCATTATACCACCATAAGAGGATACAAGGCAAGATGGATCCATGCTTACATGTTGTTTACACCAAATTTTGAGACTAAAATTTGAACACTACGCAGAAATCAAGACTCATCAGACCAAGCAACATTTTTCTGATCTTCTATTATCTACTTTTGGTGAGTTCATGTGAACTGTAGCTTCTGGTTCCTGTTCTTAGCTGACAGCAGCGGCACCTGGTGTGGTCTTTGCTCTAGCCCATCTACTTCAATGTTTGACAGAGCGTGCGTTCAGAGATGCTCTTCTGTAAATCTCGGTTGTAACAAATTGTTATTTGAGTTACTGTTGCCTTCCTATCAGCTCAGATCGTTCTCTCTATTCTCCTCTGACATCAGCAAGGCATTTTCACCCAGAGAGCTCCCACTTGCTGGATATTTTCAATTTTTAGATAGCCATAGTGATGGCTGTGTGGGAAAATCCCAGCAGATCAACAGTTTTTGAAACACTCAGACCAGCCTAACTGGCAAAGTTGAACAAATGTACCTAATAAAGTGACTCTGAGCATATTCCACAGATGAGCATCCATATGTTGTATCTGAACTCATCTCGCAGCACATAAAATATAAGTTAGTCATTGTGGTTCTCATCCCTGACCAAAACATTTTTGTTTGATTAAATTGGAAGCTGAAGCAACAACTGTCCTTGTGACAGATGGCCATCTAGGTCTGTAAAACAAAAAAGGTGAATGCTGTTGTATTTAAACTGTTTAAACCTACACTGTAAATACAATAATAGTTTGTTTCATATCTCCAAAACAAGTTCAGTTATTTATGAAAAGGGTTGCTAAACTGCAGCGTGTACTTCAGCATCTGCAACACTTAAATTCTTCATCAGCCTTGATTAAATAAGATCTAAAGTAACTGCTGGAAAGTTTTATGTGGACAGCCTGCACAGCATTTCAACTTTAGTTTTGCAATATTTCGTATTTTCCGTGTTTACTGAGTCAACGTTTTATTAAAAAAGTGGAATTACTCTGGTATTTTGCATAGTACTTTTAAAAATTACAATTAACACTACAAAAAACATTCAACTATCAGCTGCTTTTCACAAAAATATCAGGATCTCTATCTTTTTTTAAAAAGAAAAAAGTCTTTGTCCATTTACGTTTACATGGCAACCAGATGTGTTACAGTTTGGTGTTGTACTGACCTGATCTTTAAACCCCAACAGGTTGACGTTAAAATACAAACTAATAAATATTATCAGCATACAAACAAGCTCTTTTGCTGACATCACATTTGCTGACAAACAAAAAAAACAAAGAAAAAAAGAAACATCAGGAAACAAAAAACGATTGCTTATTCTGGGCTTCAAATTCTCCTTCATGGCTCATGATGTATAAAAACTGACCAAACAGCAGGTTCACTCCTCCTCTTTTCACCGTGCATTAGTTTGTATTTAATTGAGTGCTTAAGTTCTTGTACTGTTAATTATGAGACATCCACTCAATCTGATCCTTTGTAATCTGGGCAGTTCAGTTTGTCAAAAATAATCCACTAGTCCAGTTGTTCAGTTGTTAAGATTAATTAGCACCACCTAGTGCCAGAACTGTCAGTGGTAGAAAACGGTGACCAAACTGCAATCATCTCACCAACAAAAGCAAAACAACATCTGCACCAAACTATAGCAGCTCATAAAATTTTGTAAATATTACTTTGGGCTAAATAGACAACATCAGCCAGACAAAGTAAGTCAATGTATACAGAGCCTAGACCAACAATACAACAGCGAGAGGCTGTCTAGTAGTTTTTGGCAATTTAGTTAACTGTGCAAGAACTTGAACCACTCAATGTAAACTACAATCACCTATTGGAATGGCTGTTTACCCTCATGGTACATATTTCTAAATAAAGTGGCAGTTTATATATAAAAAAAAAAACAGGTAAATCCTGCCCTCCATCATGTTACTCTGGTGGTGACTGTAGGTATGATTTCTTGTTTTTAGTCCCCATGAAGAGTATCTATGATGGACATCCATGGTGGGCCAGTATTGGACAAAAGTTGCATCTTCCATACGTCATTATTGTCGCCTCTTTTCACTGCATGGCAATCTAATAAATCAAAAATGTTTATAGAAATAAAGTCTGTAAAAAATAAATAAATAAAATAAAATGACTTGATTTCCATAGCCAGCGATGCGTTCTCGCTGAGTCTCTGGCTGTTCACATTATAATTCACACCTGGCACTCCTTGGGTGTCAAAAACGTGCCACAACTTTAACATCCAGACCCCCTGCACCACCTGCACCAGAACTCTGAGCCTGCTGTGGTCCCTGGTCCACCTGGATATGATGAACGCCATTGTTAAAGCTGGCACACAACAGATTGCTGGAATCACTCGGTGCCAACGAAACCAGTGGACCGGCACCTTCCAGAGACAGCGTCCCTAAACAAACTAAACAGAGGACAGGAGAGACAAGGTTGCAGCAAAGCCAGCACAGAGATAAAAAAGGCAGAGTGGTTTTTCATTATTTATTTTGTGTTGAAATGGTTTCATCAGTGAGTAGAGGTGTTACCTGCTGTATGTTGATCCCAGATTTTGACAGAGCTGTCATGGGAGGATGTTCCCACTCGAGCTGTGCCACCAGGATGCATGGGGAGAAACACACTGCAGGCTGTGGTTTGGAGGTGGCCTCTGTACTCCACAACTTTGCAGCCAGGCTGACGCAGGTCCCAGAGCTAGTAACCCACAGACACAAGTCCACCCATCACAAATCTCAGTGTTTTATGTTCCAAAAGCATCGGCAAAATCAGTGGAGTGTTTGAGATACTGTGAAAAAAATAATCTGATCCATTTTTCATGAGGGCAAAACCTCAACCTATACTACTTTGTATTATACTCACTCTAAATCTCTATATTAAATTGGAAGTTGGAAGTGAAGCCCACAAGAAAATCAGTCAAAGACAACAAACACACAAAACAAATTGTGCTGCATCAGTTCATCATTTTAAACTGGCAGAGCAAAAGAAATTGTTCATTCCAATTAGTGTGTCTTTCACACCAACGTAATACAACCCAGACAATAAATAACCTAATGACAGCCTCAATCTACCCAATATCTGTGCATTTAGAGCTTTACAGACAACAACAAACACATATCTCCAGAGGTCTTACTGTGGCTTCACACCCCTGTCCTCCAAAGCCATTGCTACTGGACACCAAGTAGTTTCCATTTGGAGAGACATCACAGTGGGTCTGGATGTACTGCTTAGCTGGAAAAGTATTGGTCACCTGCCATACACGGCTGTCCCACACCCTGTATACATAAGCAAACCATTACTAAAGAAGGACATTTAACACACGTGTAAGAAAATGCTGTGTTTACACATGAGAGTGCATGTCCTTAGGGTCTTCTACTTTTCAGGGTGAATTTTCCAAATAAATCGCAACACATGCTGATTATCCCCAGAACACATCCTAAGTCTCTAAATGTCTTAACTGCATCAAATGCTTAGGGTTCAACATGATCAAGGGGTCATGGATGTGTTATCTAAGTGTTAGGCTCTGTAATCACTCTACTCTCCCAGGATCTTGAACAGTAAAAACTCCAAAAATGTTGGCTTTGGTTTAAAACATTTTCTAAATCCCTTGATTATACATTATATATGACTCACATTTATAGCCTTACTAAAAAAAACAAAAAAAAAAACAAGCAGTAATGCTTTGTGTGAGTTTAGGTTCAATGCCGAGGCTTAATACTGTCTCTGGTGCTCTAATTGGCTGCTGCAGCTACGTTTTGGCTGACTTTATGTGGACAACAGCAGTAAGTCCTTCAGCATTAAATAACAGGATAACAAGGGTTGCATAAGTTCATGTTAAGGTTTGTGTTACTGTCTGATTTGCTGTCTTGGTGTACTCACAATATTATCTTTTTTCTTCTATGGCATTTCAAAGGCAGAAAGCGTGTTAGCTCCCAAAGACACGAGGTATTTTTGAATTTCAGCAATAATTTAGAGATGGGGTCAGGTCACGGACAGGAAAAGTGCTACAAAGTAAAAACTAGGTGAACGGTTTAATTTCCCAATCCAAATTTTACCACCAAATGGGACTTGAACTCACCTTTGACTGATTGAACAGTCAGACATGATACTGACTTAGCAGAGAAAATAGGGAAGGCATAACTGAATCTATTTTCTGTGCCACATAATTCAATAATAAAAGCTGTAGATTGACATCAAGTATATCTTTTTCAGTGTTACCGAATGAGAAACATCCCACTCCTGCTATTAATTACACATAAAAAATCTGCACTCATTTGAGATTTAAACAAATCATCATATTTTACAGCACACAAAATTAATTTCCACTGAATTTCAATAATAATACAGCAAAAGAAAATCCTTCTGTGCCTTATAGTCTTATCCTCGGAGGTCTGGACAATAGAGGAGCTGGCTGGAACCCAGCATACATGAGTCACCTGGAAAGAGACACAGGAAAGTGGAAAAATCTACACCCTGCGGACAAAGGATCTAAAAGTCTGATTAAGTAGCTTGGTGATCTAATTATTTCTCTCATGTGCTCAGGTGTTTATCTAAAGCAGCCCAGTATGCTTAGTACGCAGATGTGAACACATAAAAATATAATACTGTTACTCTTACCAGGTTTCTAGATATGTTGTGTCTCTGTTCACATTTTGCAGATTCTATATCCCACAGGCACATCCAGTTGTCACGAGAGCCAGTGCACAGCTTTCTTCCATCTACCGACCATAAAAGAAACACTTATATTTGGTGCAGATCGTTAACCTGAAATAGATGTTGGTGTGCAGCCAGAAGTGAAAATAACAACTCTTACTTCCAATAAAATGAGAAAATCCGACATTCCAGGTAGTGTTAACTTTCCTACTAATTAAGGCAAATTATTCAGTCAAGTTGAGAATAGCCATTTATCATACCACAGGACATGCAGAAGAAATACTTCAACTATTATAGCTGCTATATGAATATGGGTTCACTTCAGGGATATTTCATCTTTCAGTATGATTTGGTTTGCTAAGAAGTCACATTTCACACAACACACGCATGAAAGTTGTGGTCAAAGGTTTACATGGAAATGACTGTCATGGTAATTTTGGTCTTTTAATTATTCCAGGTTGAATCATTGTACAGCATACATGTTTAATGATTTTTATAAAACAAGCATTGGGTGCACAAGTTTGAACTTATTTTGGATTTTCTCTAATGCACACAGAGTCAAAGATACGAATACACCCCCACTAACATTTAGTTAAATGTCCCTTGGAAAGTGCACTTTGACCAGACACTTTTGGCAGCCATCAACAAGCTTCTGGCTGGATATTTGACCACTCGTCTCGGCAGAAATGGTAAAGTTCTTTGAAACTGGTTGATTTCCTGGCACAGACTCAGCTTTTAAGCGTAGTCCATAAATTTTCAATAGGGTTAAGTTCGTGAGGGCCATTCCAGAAGCTTAATGAGCCGTTCCCAAATAACAGCAGGATCATCAGATCAACAATTATACATAAGTTACTAAGATGTATTACAACTTTGCCATCGTCTAGAAGAAGACCCAGACTTTCAGCCTAAGATGAGAGGAATTTGGTTAGGATGTTTTGGAACACAATTTGGGTATCTCCAAATTCAAATTGCACCCAATTCTTTTTTAAAGTTAATAAAGATGTATATCGTACAATCACTCGACCCTGGAAAAACAGTTCATCAACAGATCATTAAAAGCCCAAACTTATCATGATATTGACGCCATGACTGTAAGTTTGACCAGACCTTTACAGATGAAATGTGCTTATTTTTGTTTATACATTTATAGTAAAAGTGTTCAAAAAGTGAACAACAGAAAAGACCAAAAACAATACTAAAACTGATAAAAATGTATCCAAAACTAAACATTTTCAAACAATAAAAACTCAACTGAAATGAGCTAATTCATTCTGCAAGTTACCTCTAATTGAACTGAACTGGAAACAAAAACTAGAGCTAATTAGGTTTTATTTTGTTTTTGTTTGTTTTGTTGTTGTTTTGTTTTTGTTTGTTTTCTTTTGGGGGGGGGGTTGCCTTTGTTTTTGTTTTAATTACACCAATTCTGCTTTTTATTTCATGCTTGTGAAATGTCTTCTGAGGTACCTTTGTTTTTCTTGAATTGATTGTCTGCAACTGCAAAAAAAATGCTTGGGGATAAATAAGAAGCTATCTGTACAAAGATATGACAGAATACACTTACTAATTGTGTTTTATCATGCACTTTAACATACTAGAAATCAGAGACTGGTACATTTACCTTAAGCAATATAACCTTTAAGACAACACTTAAAACATTTACTCACGTCTGAGGAGATTCATTGTGTGTGAGTGCCTGTGTGTATGTACCAGGACTGATAGCTAGTCCATTGACCACCAACTCATGCCCACAGAATTCCTGAATAGGTTCGTCTCCCTGGTTGAGGTCCCACATCAGTACAGTTTTGTCCCGTGAGGCACTAAAGATCCATGTACTACCTGGATAACAAATCACCTGGTAGAGGACAGAATTCACAGGAGATAAGAGGAGACTGGGGAACGTGAAATGTGTCACACGTTTAAGGCGTCATTCCTTTATCAGTTTGTGCGCACACGGTATTGATGTTACCTTGGTAACCTCTCGGTTGTGGCCCTGGAAAGACTGACACATCCGGCCTTGTTTCCAGTCATACACCACCACAGCCTACAGAGGTAGAGATGCTAATCACACCATGTTTAAGTGTAGTTTTCACAAAATCTATACCCTTAATTCATGGGTTTCTAATATAACCTGTATCATACCTTAGATCCAATATTGTGAGTCTTTTTTGAATTGGGCATTTTACTCTGTGAGCTCTATGATTTAAAATCACTTAAAACCATGATAAAGTTCAATTTGTGGCTTGAACATTTATAATATTTAAAGAGACTTAATAATCAGTACAACAGTTCAATTTTTGGCTTTACCTGGTCACTCCCGCCAGAAACACACAGGTCTGGACTGAGAGTGGTCACTGTGTTAATGGACCCATGATGTGCAGGCTCATACTGCACCACCTGACTGTCAAAGGTATTATCTGTCTTCTCTGCCTGAGATGCCCTGTACACACACACACACACACACACACACACACACACACACACACACACATAAAAATACACACATACATAAAATTGCAAAAACTTTAATATGTAATAATATATATAATACAGACACACATACGCACACACAGAGAGAGAAGGCCTAGCACAAGTCTCACCTGTAGAGCTCAGACCTCTTGCGGAACTTGCTCTGTAGTTTGCCCATGTCTGCCTAGGAACCTGCAGTCACACTGACACACACAGAGAAATGCCATCAAACTGAAAAATCACGCTTCATAACAACTAAACGCACATGTTGTGGTAGTAACGATGAGGGATAACTACTCGGACTTCACTACAACCCTACAGTTCACTTAGTGATCGTCTATCCCAGAGCAGTGCTTAATGCAATAGCTACATTAGGCACACACTTTCTGTGCTTCTCTTGCAGCTAAAAGAACAACAACTAACTACTTTGGCTGTTTTTAGTGAGTTAGAAGCCTTGTGTGACATTTTGGTGGAAATCATTCAGCAAACAGAATACAAACAGTACTTTCTCACACACGCACAGCTACGCCCCACCCTCGTTATCCCGGTGTACTCCACTCCACAAACAAGCGACAGGAAGGAGAGGGCTCAAATCCTATTACAGCGGCATCATTACTGTCACAAGGTATTAGTCACTGGAAAACACCTGCTAAGAACTTTGCTGGCGATCATTATGCAACGGTACTCGGTGGATTTTAACCGTAGTTAATAAAGCTGAAAAATGGATGATGACTCGCGCACACTTGTAGTGCACAGAAGCAGGGTTTCTTACCTGTCACTGGCAGGTGTCGTCGCTGGGTGATGCAGAGGCTGAGGAGCTAGCTTGCTAGCATGCTAACTAATCTTTATCTGTCATTCTAAGAAAGATCAATGCGTTAGTGGCAGTAGAACATAGACGGGCACGCGTTAAAGCTTGGAAAAGTTGTTATTTTAACAAAAGAGAACCGTTTCCGACACACTGCCATGACAGACCGCTGTCCTAACTGCGTGGGAAAGTGCACAAAAGTGTCTTTTTAACTACAAAACACCCATCCCTCCCTCCGTAGCGACCAGGGAGCGACGCTTTCTCGTAACCAGGCGAGGACGAGGTCACGTGAGAAACAGAAGGAAGTAACCGGAAACCTACAAAAATAAAAGCCTGTTCACTGTTTGTTTGTTTCTATAACTGGACAAACGTGAACACAAATGAACACAAAAAACACAATTTTTTAGGAATGTTTGTTTTTTCAGGAGTAATCCAGGTGAATGTACTGGCTTTTGGGTACATTTCACCACAGGGTAGCTTACTAAAATCCTCTTTGCTCACTGCAGTGTATCCATTGCCCAAGCTCATCATGTGCACCAAAAAATGCAAAACACTGCCTAGAGGGAACATTTTCTTTTCCAAAACCAGGACTTAAACTACAGTGGTATAGACCTATGGTGGACCCTAATAATTTTATTTTCACATTAAAGCAAAAGCAAAGATGGCTTTTTTCTTATTCTTTTCCCCATATATCCCCAGAGGCATTGGTTGAATTGCAAATCCTAAATGAAGATATTATAAAGTGTATATAACATACACTTAACTAGCGACAGCATACGACTCCTCTC